AGAGAGAGAGAGAGAGAGAGAGAGAGAGAGAGAGAGAGAGATGTCGACCGGTAGTGGGAACAGCGGATAACGTTCCCACCCGACCGGGATGTCGAGGCTCGCGCGACCAGCGAAAGCACGGCTCGTCATTGCGCCCGCGACCGCGTTGGCTGCAATCGGACTCAACTCATCTTCATCCAGAGGGAGACCCGCCACGTCATTGCGCCCGCCCGTGTTGACAACAATGGAAATCAGAAAGTGCACGGCACTCCCCACCGGCGGGCGGGCCCCAAGAGAAACGTTCGTTCGTTGTCTATAGCCGTTTTTCTAATTGTGGGTCCCACTAACCGCCGGGACTTGGCCCTCCAAAGCGTACCAGCTACAGTAGGTACTAGTCGCCTCAGCTACCGGTAGGCCGACGCCCCGAGCAAGAAATCCCCCGCTACCGGTCAGCCCTATTTTCCAACGCCGGACGGAGTTGAAATGACGCCCCGCTTCAGGACATCCTTCGGGACATCCGTTAAAATTGGAACGATTGGAACGATAAATAAATAAATAAATAAATAAATAAATAAATAAATAAATAAATAAATAAATAAATAAATAAATAAATAAATAAATAAATAAAAAGAAATGACGCCCGCGGCTTCAACGTGCGCCGGCTGGAAAGGGTCTCCGCGCTTTATTTTCCGCTGCCGGCCAATCGCCAGCCCGCCTTGCGTCTGTCCGTCGGCGCAGGTGGAGTCGCGGTCAGTTCACGTTATCGAGCTTGAGCTTGTGTTTTCTCTTCTCGGCAGATCAATCAGTCGACGGCCAGCTTTGCCAACCCCTCCTCCTCCTCCTCCTCCTCCTCCTGCTCCTCCTCTTCCATCTCTTCCCTCATCTCTCATCGCTTCTTCTTCCTCGCACGTCTGTCGTTGGAGCGCGGGGAAGATAGGCAAACGAAGATAGAGATGGCACTGGTCGCACGTGCCGCACATTGTCAGGCTATGGTCGCCAGCACCGCCGGCGGCGGTGCGCTTGCCGCGGGGGACGTCTCCCCCGATCACCGGACGTCGTCCGCCATCCCTCCGCCGAGATGCCGCCAGTTCTCCGGACTGAAGGGCGTCATGATGGCGCCACGTGACAACAAAAGCACCAACCTTGGCTTATCTGATGACGTCGCCGACAGCGCAAGTCTCAGTACGGCGATCGGCAGGTCGCCCGCCCAGCGACGGCGGCGGGGGCGGGGGAGCAGCGCAAGGATTTGCGCCGTGATGGTTGACACGGAAACCACGAAATCGGGCGTTCGAGTCGTACGGATAGGCACGCGCGGAAGCCCTCTGGCTCTTGCGCAGGCATACCAGACCAGAGACCGGCTGAAGCAGAGCCACCCCGAACTGCGCGAAGAAGGGGCAATCGAGATTGTTGTCATTAAGACGACGGGGGACAAGATTCTTAATCAGCCTTTGGCCGACATTGGCGGCAAAGGGCTCTTCACCAAGGAGGTGGACGATGCTCTTATGTCGTCGGAAGTGGACATCGGCGTCCACTCCATGAAGGATGTCCCTACGTATCTTCCCGAGGGTATGATCTTGCCATGCAACCTTCCGCGCGAGGATGTGCGCGACGCATTCATTTGCCCAACCGTGTCTTCTCTAGCGGAATTGCCAGCGGGGAGCCTGGTGGGAAGCGCTTCTCTCCGTCGGCAATCTCAGATACTGCATAAGTATCCCTCCCTGAAGGTCGTCAACTTCCGAGGGAATGTGCAGACGAGGCTGAAGAAGCTCAGTGAGGGTGTGGTGGCAGCAACCCTTCTTGCCCTCGCTGGACTCAAGAGGCTGGACATGGCCGACACAGCCACGTCCATCTTGTCCACTGATGACATGCTTCCAGCCATTGCACAGGGTGCCATTGGCATTGCCTGCAGAGAAGGAGATGAGGTTATCGAGCGTTACCTAGCTTCGCTTAATCACGAGGACACAAGGCTGGCTGTTGCTTGTGAGCGCGCCTTCTTGGCAGTGTTGGATGGCTCCTGCCGGACGCCAATTGCTGGACTGGCTGTGAGGACGGAAGACGGAGGCTGCTCGTTCAGAGGATTGGTTGCCTCGCCAGATGGGAAACGGGTGCTGGAGACGAGCAGACAGTGCTCATACACTTTCGAAGACATGATTGCGGCGGGCAAAGATGCGGCCGGAGAATTGCTTAAGAGTGCGGGACCTGATTTCTTCAATTGGTCGTAGTAAGAGAGAAACGACGTCCATCAGGTTTTGGAAAAGCATGTATGTTGGTGGGGTGGGGTGGGGTGGGGTAGGGTGGGGTGGCGACGCTACCTGGGCCTGGGGTGTCAGAGGACGGTGCTCTTCGATATTCGCGTAGGGGTTCAGAACGTAGTAGAGAGGGAAATTATGTGTGATGTGTGTGGTAAACACTCTGCCCCCATGTCCTTCCTTTCGACCCCTGCCAAAGCCCAAAGTTTTGTTGTGAATCATCTTTAGCAATATTTGTTCTTATTTTTTCACATGTTAAGATTTTCACATGTTATATTTGTTCTTATTTTTTCACATCTTCGAAATTTTCACATCTTAAGATTTTCACATCTTCAAAATTTTCGCTCTCACTCTGGGATATCAACTGGGCTGCCCGGTCCACGGTGGTTGGCCCGGCCGCCCGGCCGGGCAAGGGCGAAGCAGAGTTAGTTGCCTGCAAAAAAAAAAAAAGGAGAAAAATTAACTGTTGTGAAGAATAATAATCCGAATTGTTATTAGGAAGAATAATAATAATAATCCTATTTCGTCTTGTCCGAATAGAACGCGTGTGCCTGTGACAGAAGAAGATGTCACGCACGGCTTTCTTTCGAGTAATTGCGAGAGTGCACAGCTCACGCTTTTGTGTGCGCCTCCTCCTCCCCTCCCGCCTCCCCCTCAAACCCTTTTCCTTTTCTCTCTCTTCTCCCTCTCTCGTCTCCTCCGCATCCACACTTCTCTCTTCCTCTCTCTCCTTCTGTACGTTTCTCCCCATCTTTCTTGCTTGCCTATCTCTTGCCCTCTCCCTCTCCCTCTCCTCGCTCTCCCTCTCCTTCTCTCTTCTCTTCCCCTCTCTGTCACTTTCTTCTCTCTCCTCTCCCCTCCGTTTTTCTCTACCCCTTGTTTTTTGCAATCTCTCCCCTCTTTGCTCTCTCTCCCGCGCAGGGAACTTGTACGCAGCCGTAGCATGCTGCTTCTCTACTCCGTCCTCACTCTTCGGTGCAGAGCTTCTGCGTCTTCTCTGCTGATGGCTAATACGGCCTCGTTCGCCAAATGTCAACATTTTGAATGTATCTGGGCCTGTTATAGTTCTGATACATTCATTTTTTTGGCGTTTGGCGATTGGCGAGTGGTGCTGCGAGGGCCATAGTCTACTTGGCGCTCTTTACGCGAACGGAACCAAAAATGTGCTCGTTAATAATAATACAGCGTCACATTTCTGATACGTTACGTTGGTAAAATGAAGAGATGCGTGGTTGCTGCCACGTGTCTGCAAATTGAAGCGGATGTGTAAGGAGAGGGCAGGAGTGCGCGCTACCGGTAGGGTGGCGCCGAGGGGGAAAGCGCTGGGGGGGAGGAGGCTGCAAGCCGACAAGGTCATATACTAAAAGCTCATTACACATAATTGGCGTGTTTTTTTTTTTTTTTTTTTTTTTTTTTTTTTTTTAATTGGGGGGGCTTTGAGGAGTAGGGGTTTCATCGGGGGGAAGGGGCGTTTTTTTTTTGTTTTGTTTTTTTTTAATAATTGACGGAACGCGCGCAAATGATAAGTGCAGAGCAGGAAGGGCCGGGGGCAAGGTCCCACTTGCACGGATTACGAGAATCTGGCCGTTGATCTCTGCTATCTACGGTCAATATCGCTTAATAATTCGTAAGTGGGACCTACAGTCTTCACCAGAATACAACGTACCGTCATTATAGCTGTATTTGGGCTATCTTTCGGTCTCAATACACCCATAATAACCGTACATTGTACTCGGGTGAAGAAGGTTAGCCCCCGGTCAGCGGGCGAAAACGGGGCAGAAGTAGTAAGCCCATTCGATTAGATAATTGGGCATTTAACTTTGACGTACCTGGCCGCAATTTCGGCGTTTTGTGAACCGGAATCGTCAGGTCTTACTTACTGACCGGAAGCCGGCAAGTCCCGACTGATGATTTCGGTCCAAAAAACGCCGAAATTGCCCAAAAGCCTGAAAATAAAAAGGGAAAATAGCATTTGTACCCCATTTAAAGATGGTAATATAGTCCTTCGGGACATCCGTTAAAATTGGAACGATATAGAGAAGGGTAATTAGCAAATGGCCCCTGCGCAAGGATGACACGGAAAAAAGAAAAAAAGAAAAAAAAAAAAGATGGTAATATAGCCGCTTTACCCAGTCCCGGTGCCCAACTTGCATTTGTACCCAGGAAATGGTCTGTGCAAGTTATTTGCATGCCCAGGACGAAAGTGGGCCAAGGTTGGTACCGTCAAATTGCAGTTGTACCCAAGTGGCGGAATGCTCAAATGATGCTCATGCCCGGGCAAATTATGTGCATACCCAATTTTTCCTGCCCTGTTCCTGGGGGCATAAGCGTAATTTTGTGCTCCCCAACCAAGGACCTGTGGGACTGGGTACGCGAATAAGTTGGTGCATGGGAGAAGTAGGGTATTACCTTAAGTTGAACAGGGTCTGGGTATCGATGCAAGTTGGGCTCTCGGACGGGGTATGGCGGGTATTCCCATCTTTAACTGGGGTACAAATGCAATTTTCCTTATTAAAAAAAGTTTTTCATAGAACTTTAAAAAAAAGCCGGATTTCCTCAAAAAATAAAAATAAAAAAAATCGAATTTAAACAGCTCTGTCTTCTCCCCCTTCCACGTGGCTTTTCTACACCATGCGTGTTTTCTGCCACGTCAGCCAGCAGTACGCAGGCAATATAGGCATGAAAATGCAAAACGTGTCTCGTCGCTCATAACCAAACTTTTTTTTTTTCTTTTTTTTTTTCTTTTTTGCTCATACCCAAACATACATTTCCGGTTTTTGAAAAATTTTAAACCCCCCTTCAGCTCCCCTTCATTTCCTCTCTCTTCCTCCCTCTTTTCAGAGCGCCTGCTACGCTTGCCTGTTCATTACTCTCTCTCTCTCTCTCTCTCTCTCTCTCTCTCTCTCTCTCTCTCTCT